GTGTGTCATTAATTTAAAAACAGTTTATAACAATGATAAGAGCAACAAACGTACAATCTGCTGTCCAGGTCACATATATGTATCCGCAATGTCCTCGAATGATGAATTGCCATTTGATTTGTTTGTGCTGCTTGTGGCAGCAATTTAATTTAATTATCGTATTTGCCACTTGGCCAAATGCCAGCCATAAGCCGAGTCAGCCATCCCATGAATACAAACATACAAGTGTGTGTATGCGTGTGTGTGTGTGTGCGTGTGCTTGTGTTTGTGAGGTCAAAATGCAGATGCAGTCGCATCGCACTGCTGCAGTCCTAGCTGGCCACCTGGCCACCTGGCCACCTGGCTGGCAATTACGCCGGATTATGAACGGCGGCAAACATTTAAAATGAAATGTCCAATGCAAATTGTCAGGAGAGCAGCGTTTGGCCCTAAATCGCGTCTAACGCACACAGCGTCGAGGCCCCATTGCCCCCCGGGGCACTAAACCCTATTTTCGTTTCCGTTCCTCCGCTTGGCCGACTCCTCTCTGACGCTAATATGCAAATGCAATTTGCCGCGTTTGGCGCGTGATGTTCGTTGGGTAATCGTAACACAATTACAATGTTGTCAGTTTGTGCGTGTGTGAGTGCGTGAGTGCGTGAGTGTGTGTGCAGGTATGCGTGTGCATTTGCAACTGTGCTCCGATGCATCGCTTCAGTGCAGCCCTACAGGGCGAGGCTAAGGGTAGCTGGCACAGCCACCGCATGCACGCGTAATTAATTGATTTTTATCTGGCTTGAGGCTATTTTACAGTTTGTTGATGACAGACGATGCAGACACGTGGGCGCAGCAGCCCACGAACCCGTTCGTAGCAGCTCTCCACGATTGAGAGCCACCACCTTTCCCCTTATCCAATGTTTATAATCAGCTTCGCGGCTTTCACAGTCTGTGGATGTGTGGGTGAGTGTGTGTATGTGTGTGCGTGTCTATGTGGAGTTTATTTAAAGAGATTTTTATGACTGCCGCCACTTTGTTTAGGACTCTTCGAGCTGTTGCTCTTTTTTTCGTTCTGTTAAATTTATTGCATGGCTGTTGCTCATTTTTTTTTTTTTTTTTTTTTTTTTTGCTATTCATTGTCAGCGCCTGTTTATTTTTGGCCAGTTCGCTGGTTTAATGAGGCGTATGCGCAATGTTACAATGTTGCGAAGTACACGCCGTGTTATTTGTGGCGAAAATTAAATTGTTTGCGCCCAAGCACACTTTTATATACCTATACATGTCTTTGATATGCAGCAAGCCAGCGGCTTGTCTAGACTTTGAAATAATGCTTTTATTAGAGTGGCACAACATAAACTAAGACATAAGGTTCTATGATGTAAAAGTCAATAATTAAGGCAAGTTACTTAACATCAGCAAGTTAAACCTTTCGAAGAAATCTACAGGCAGCCTGCTGCAGCAAGAATATCCCATTAAAATAGCTCCTTCGGATTGGCATTGATGTATACAGACACAAATAATTCTGTTTCTCATTCTATACATATCAGAAGCATGCTATTAGTATTTGTTTGCATGTATCAGCTTTTAGTCAAATTCTACGATAACAACTTTTGTGAAATACAACTGAAACTACTCAACTCCACCTCCACTTCCACACCTGGGTCAGGTCAATGTATTGAAATACATATGGCATGTATCGTATTATGTATCCTATTTTAGCTCATCCCTTGCTGAGGTTTCTAACTATGTCTCAGGCATAATATGCTCGAGGGCCTCGTGTGGATACCGACTGTGGCTGGCCGGAACAACAACAGTTGATGCAGTTAATTTGCAGATATTATTGCTGTGATTAACACATAGATGTTTATGTGGACAGTAATGTTTTATATACAAACAAACAAACACACACACACACTCACACAAACAAGCCATACTATGAAATCAGTGAGGTGCACTTAAGCATTGGTTGGCTGCTGGCAGGATATACAAATATACCAAAACCACACACACACACACACATACACACACACACACAGATGAGATAGGCACACTGTGGCAGCTGTGTACGGCTTGGGTGATAAATGGCTGCCAAGCTTATAATATTAATAATACATATAAAGCACTTGAACATGTCGACATGCATAACATGTTGGCTCATACAGATAAGCAAGGACACACACACAAGCACACGAGCACTACACTAGACAACACAACGCAACATAGCCGAGCAGAACAGATCATAGCAACGTAACAGATATGCACACCTAGAGAGAAGCCCATGATTGGCATGCCGTGCGCTTAGTGTTTGTGTATAAACTTGTAATTAATTGACTTGATGGAAAATGTAATTTAATTAAGCAGACATTTCAATGCGGTTGCCATTGACTACGGCTATGGCTACGACTACGACTACAACTACGACGATGCTCAGGCTTGCAGTTCCCTGGATGGCAGCCATCGCATCTTGTTTGTTGTTGCCATGGCTATTGTTGTTGCTCCGATTGCCAGGCGCTTTGCACACTAGCGCTCTTTAAGAGCCAATTAGTCTTATGGCATTTGAGTGCACACGGCGTATGCGTAATCCGACCTATTAATGCAATTTAATGTTAACTTTAAGCCCACATAAATTGGTAGCTAAGATCTAAGGAGGCTAAATTAAAGTCTGCAATATATTTGACCAGCTCGGCATTTGCCTGGTGGCAGGCACAGGATAAACAGCTTCCAAGTCAATTTTCTTGTCTGGCAATATATTCTTAAGAAGGACGATGTACGTTTTATGCTCTTATTGCAGCTATTTCGGCCGCACTCTCGGCCACATGCAGACTTAATTTATTCTAATTATTCAATAAATCTTAATTTTCACTATGCTGCGCACATATATTTGCATGTTTTGCTGTGCTTCCCTATTCACAGCGCAAATGTTGCCTAGCATTTCCGGCTGCCTGGCTGCTCATCGCTTGTGGCAGCTGCCAGCCATTGCAATCTAATTCGACATTATAAATTCTTTAATATTTACTCGGGCATTAAATCAAATCACACCTTAAATTATATTTAAATATGTATTTGAAATTAAGCTTGAGCCATTCAGCTGCCCGTCAGGCCTAATATTCATAACAATATATCTTAATGTTGTTTCATATAATTCGCAATTCGATTATAACCATAATATGGTAATTAATACAATTAATTGCTGTTAAGCATATATATAAATAGACCAAAGTATTTATCTGAAGGTAGATTAATTAGAGTATGTATTAGTACTATATTTATGAAGGACTAAGACTAAGAAAAGTCTAACTGTAGTAATACTTTCCCCCTAGCTTGTTGGTACTATTTTTATTTTATGAAGGAATTCATTATAATTAATATATGCAATTATTCAAATAGTTCATTTAAATAGTAGTGTTGCATTACGCAAAATATAAACCAAGTTAAGTTTTACTGTTTATATGAAGTTAGACTAATAAAAGATAGTAGTAGTAGTTGTAGCAATAGTAATAGTAGTAGTAGAGCAGTAGTAGTAGTAGTAGAGTAGATTAGTAGTAGTAGAGTAGATTAGTAGTAGTAGTAGAGTAGATTAGTAGTAGTAGTAGAGCAGTAGTGGTAGTAGTAAAAGAGCAGTAGTAGTAGAGTAGATTAGTATTAGTAGTAGAGCAGTAGTAGTAGTAGTAGAGTAGATTAGTAGCAGTAGTAGTAGTAGTAGTAGAGTAGATTAGTAGTAGTAGTAGAGCAGTAGTAGTAGTATTAGTAGAGCAGTAGTAGTAGTATTAGTAGAGCAGTAGTAGTAGTAGTAGTAGAGTAGGTTAGTAGTATTTATAGTAATTCATCTATTTCTATTGTCATGAAGTCCTATTTCTGTTAATTTTTCTTTAACTGTGCTCATAAAGTAGTAGTACTAACCAAAGCAAACCAAGTAAAGATATTTTTTTATATACAGCCGTGAAAAATAAAATAGCATCACTTAAATATTTTTCGAAGAGAGCATCTTGAACTTTTTTCACAGCTGTAATATTATATTTAGTAATAGTAGTTATAGTTTCGTATCTTTTTGATTCGTTACTAGTACTCTCATGAATCCTTAATTGTGTTCATTCCTTTATACCCTGAACCCATTGAAAATGGAAAATCAGGGTATGTTTTTTCAGCTAAGTTCAACAAAATAGCAGTTTTATGCACAACAAACCATATAAAGTTACTTTTAGTAGTTACTACTATTTCAATGCGGGACTGAACTCTACTATTGTTTCTTTATTTATGTTTTTAAAAAATAGAAGTATGATACAAAAGAAACCAAATAAAGTTAAACTCTGAAGTTATTAGTAATAGTAGAATTTAGTATGGACTACTATGTATTTTTGTGAAGGAATAAACTGAGTGAATTTGTATTTGTTTTGTGAAATTCACATGTTCCTAACTTTTCAACAACAAACGAAACTCATACACTCACACATACATAGATAATAATAATCTTAATACTGTGTTCATAACTAAATTGTATTTTCATGAACTCAGCTGTATAGTCGAAATTCTTTCACAAAATGTATATATACTAAATGTAGTCTGCTATGCAGGCACTAAATTTGCTGTGAAGACAATGAATTTGCCATTTAATTAACAAATGTAATTTGTATTTACATTTTTGCTTTTGTTTTTGTTTTTTTTTTTTTTTTTTTTTATGATATTAGCTTAATCAATTATTTGAGGTGTCAAAGCTTTTCCACAAATTTGTTTTCAGATTTATTAATATTATATTTCATATATATGTTTATCTGTATGTATATTTTGCCGCTAAGCAAATCAGAGATATTTGTTGTCACATTTAAATGGTGGTGAAAATATTTTGGTTGGATGTGGATTATTGGCTTTCACGAAATGTAATTGAATTACGAATGCGTTAAATATGCTATTAATTAAATATGCAGCCGACGGGCATATTATGCACATATTTTGCTGTTGTGTGTGCTCATATTAAATGATGGCTAATTGAATTAATAAATATTTGAAATTCGTAATATAGTATTTACCTGCGTTTCGGTGACATTCAGCAGCTTGGCCATTTCGGTGCGTTCGCTGGAGCTGAGATATTTCTTAATTTCGAACTGTTTTTCCAGCTCGAAGATCTGGCGACCCGTGAAGGTGGTGCGCGCCTTCTTTTTGCGGCGTGCGTCCGTTGAGCCGGAGTCGGAGTCATCCTCGGTGGTCTCCAGGTTGCTGTTGTTGTTGCTCGGCGGCTGGGCGGCGTGGGGGGCGCTGCTGGGCGAACTGTTATTGGCCAGCAGCTTATCCCGCATTAGGCTGTCGCTGCTGCCAGTGGGACTTACGTCCGGCGGCAGATCGACCGTTAGCTTCTTCTTTTTCGCTGCCGGCTTGCTCGAGTGCTCTGCGAATGAGGAATGGGAGAGGGAGAAACTATTAGCCATTGTCTCTCTATGTGCTAACTAAGCTAACTTATTGCGACACTCAGCTATTTAACCTGATTTCAGCTCGTTGTTATGTTTTTTGTTTTGTTTGTCGTTTGTTGTTGTTTCTTGGTTTTTGCTTTTGCAATTAGCTTGTCAAATGCTATAAAAACTGACAAGCCAATCGGTCAGATTAACTGACTGCATTGTTGTCGGAGTTGCAGTTGCACAGTTTCATATGTAAAACCAATGCGCTGCACACTGAACTCGTTTCTGTTTATACCCTATAAATTGAGTATGAAGTGTATGGGTGACTAGCTGCGGAAATTGTGTTTCATTTTATTGAAATTTAAGATGAAGAGCTGTACTTTATTTTTATAATCCTGATAATAATCTGAAATAATTCGATGCATCTGAATTTAATGCATATAAAAAAAATTGTGATATAAAATAAAAAATACAAATATAAAATAATAATATAATATAAAATAAAATAGAAATGGTTTTGTTTACTGTATTATTTTATATTTTTAATTTCATATTTTATTTTATATTTTTAATTTTTTTTTTAATTTTGTAAAATTATTTTTATTTTATTAATTTTAATTGTTTGCTATTTTTTTTATATTATATTTTATATTATTATTTTATAATTTTATATTTTATTTTATTCATATTTTTATATTTTAATATAAATTAAAAAAATTTAGAATTTTTATTTTATTTTTTAAATATAGCTAGATCAGAATTCACAGGGTCATCTATAGTCGATTTCGACTTTATTTATGTATTATTACAATGTTGTTATTCCTGTCGATTGTCAGTTTTAAGTAAGTGCGAGAGAGACGAGCGAGAGAGAGAGAGAAAGAGTAGGAAATAGAGAGAAAAAACAACATACAAGTGTTAACAACGCCATGTATATCAGGCATATGGCTATTGGTTGACTGGGGCCAAAACGTGTCTGGCATGAGTCTGACTGTTGTCGCCAATTGCGAATGCATAATTGAAATCTAATGACAGTTAAATGCAAACGTTCGTCGTGGAAGTTGTTGTTGTCGCTGCAATTGCTAATACGCCGCGTGGGCCGTCGCACGGCCTCATATGGCGCGTAGCGCATATGCATGACACTGTGATTAATTAGGCGACCGACTGACAGCCGCCGTTCTTGTCGCCTCCGGCATTGGCAGCAGTCCGAGCCACTTAATGCCAGCCACCCCTAGAAACCCCGAGCGACGCACGACAATGTGCACAAAGGGCACGGCACCCCAGTGGCATGAAATCAATAAAACTAAGCGGCGAACAGCGAAAACAAGAGCAAAACCTTAAAACAATAGACGAGACACACACACACACACACACACACACACACACACACACACACACCCAAATGTTTGATTAGATGTTGTTTCGTTTTCGTTTTCTTTCGTTTGGTTTTTGTTCGCCTATTGGCAATCGCCATGTCGTTCCATTAGGTCCGCTTGGCGACAACATTTTAATGGCAGCACCCGCCTTACTCCTCCCAGCCACCCAGCACAGCTCCATCACGGCTGGCCGTTTATGGTGCTTGCAAACAAGTAATTAAGCGAAAATTAACAGACGACAGTTGCAAATCACAAAATGCGAGACTTGAGCGTGCGTCGTTTGGCATTCATCCATTTGAAATGCGAATATGAGCGATAAATGTTCTAAGCATTTGTTGTTGGGTTTTTGTTATTTGCTATTTGCTATTTGTTATTTGTTACTTGTATGTGTATTATTATTATTATATATTTTTGCCAAGTCGAGTACGTGATTTTAATAACAATAAAAGTCGAACGCAGCATTGAGCAATTAACGGCAACGGCAACGGCCATAATACAACGAAACAACAGCCAACAATTTTCTGCTCAAGTTTGCTCATTTCAAGCTGATTGTTATTGCCTATTATAGCCGTATGCCAATTGCTAATTGAATTTGCTGTTTTTCTACTCCCGCCAGCAAGCTCCGCCTCGCCCTCACCCACACCCACGCCCCAGCTGTTCTGTCTGAATTAAACAATTTTAATGCAGCGTAAATTTAGATTGGCAAGCGAATTACATTAGTAAAAACAATGTTCACATAATCAATGTGGCGATCGTTCATTGTATTTACAGTTTATTATTTCTGACAGAATTCCCCTGCTCGGCCTATTTGCCACATATTTTGCAGCTAATAATGCTAATGCTAATAAATCAATTCAATTTATTCAGTCGTCTGTTTTGTTAAAGTTCAATATGCATTTTAGAGATTCAAGTTGGAAAAATGCATTCATTTTTCTGATTGAAAAAGAAAATTATTATTATAATTAACAATAATATACAATTATTTTATTATTGATTTAAATTTTATAAACGTTATATAAAGACATAAATATACATATAGTAAATAAATATATATGAAATATATATTTAGTTATTATTTGGTTGTTTATATCTATATTTTATTATTAAATTATTAAAAAATTTGTGAAAAATTGTTTTCAAAATCTAGTACATTTTTTATATTTTAATATATTTTTGTTTATACTTTTCATTTTTTATTAATTTTTTTTTCGTATTCATTAAAAAAATATATATTTATATTATTTTGGCTTGTATTTTAGAATTGATTTTTTTTATAGTTTGCTTTCTATTTTTATATAATTTGAGGTATTATCAATCGGAATGTTGCTCTGAATAAATATTTAACGTACTGCATATCTTCGTTGACGACTAATCGCAATGAGATTGTAAAATTATTTTTTAATCAATATTAGCCAAAACAAAAAATGTGTATCTATAATTAATTACTATAATTTTTGCAAATTCAAAAGTTGGCAAAATGCAATTAGCAATCTTGAAGGAAGCATTTGATGTGATATAAGAATCGATTAAAAACGAATTGAGTCGAATGTTGATGACCCCACTCATTGGCAATTATCCGCTGCCAAAATGTAGGACCTAAATGTGGCGAATGCCGTCAATTTGAGCCACGGTTGAGCTTCATTTAATTTGGCATAACACGCATACGCCGCGTTGCCTGCCGAACGCTTCGCTGAAGCGTGTTGAGAGCTTCGCGCTGCGCTCAATTGGCAGGCTCGTCAAGCGTTGCTGCATAAATTTGCTCGGCGCCAATATGAAAAACTAAAAATACTAAACTCAAAGTCACCGAATACCGAATACACTAACTGATTCAATTAAATATTTGCAGAAATTTGTTAATTATGATAGGTGAATGGTAATTATTATGCAATTCCTATTCCATTCTTAGTCAGTTCTAATTATATATTCCATATAGTAAAGAGAAAGAGAGAGAAATTTGTTGGTCTCACTTACCCTTCTTGGCGCTGGTCTTTCCCAGCAGCTGGCTTTGCCTGGCCGCCGGCATTGGCGATGTGGTGCTGCTGTCCCGCGACTTTTTGGCCACACACAGATTTAATGGCTGATCGAGCGGGGCTGCCGCTGTGACATTTGCTGCTGCTACCGTTGCTGCCGTTGCTGCCGTTGCTCCCACTGCTGTTGCTGCTGCTGAGCTGACTGCACTGTCCTCCTCGCTGACATCGCTCATTGAGGCGCTGCGATGCGCGCGCTGTTCCTGTTCATGGGGCTGCTGTGCGTACTGCTGCTCGATACTTCGCAGAATGCTCTTTGGTGAAGTGGCCGAACTGTTGGCGGTGGCTGTCGAAACGGCAGCGGCAGCGGCGGCGGCCACGGCGCCCTCGTACGCAATTTTATCGGCCATGGCCATGCCCAGTATGTCTGCAATTGAATGGGGCGTGGGTCTATTAGGCGGACGTGCGTAGACATGAGCGTGCCAGCTAGCCGTGTGGCTCGAAGTGGTCGTTGTGGCTATGTTGGTGGGAAAGGGTGTTATGGAGCGTCGCTGCTGTTGCTGTGGTAGCTGTTGCTGCTGTAGCTGTTGCTGTTGCTGCTGTTGCTGTTGCTGCTGAGTAGTCGTTGATTGACGACTAGAAGGTGCCTCCAGTTGCTTCTGTAGAAACGTTGTGGGCGAGCTGCCAGCGGAGATGGGACTAGCGCTGTTGCTGCCGCTGCTGTTGTTATTATCGCGCACTCGCAGCATATTGACCAGCTTCTCCTTGCTGCTGGGGCTGACCATTGACGCCGCCGAGGGCGGTATTGTCAATGAGCTGCTGTAGACATACGAGTTGATGGCCATGTTGTAAGCCGTGGCTGATTCTGACTGCAGCTGTTGTTGTAACTGTTGCTGCTGTTGGTGTTGCTGGTGCTGCTGTTGTTGATGGTGCTGGTGTTGCTGTTTGTCTTTGACTATGCCATAACCGTGCGCCAAGGCGCCGCTGATCATTTCTGCTGCCACCAACGATTCGCGTTCCGTTTCGGGCATCATTTAGGGCGCAGCTAATTGGCTCTTAAGTGGGCCTGGTGGCTGGAATAGACACAGAAGCAAAACGTGCGTATTAGAACGGGCAAACGAAATTAGCCACACAGCTGCGCATTTGTTGTCAACTTGTTAATGGCTTCTGCCGCTGGCGTTAACCTTCAACTTATTTGCCCCACAATTCAGAGCCCGCAAATGCAATAAAATACAGAACAGAATAGTCCACCATTTAGTGTCGCCTGTGCAGAATGTAGTCCAACTTATTAAGCCCGCAACACGCCCGACCTCCAACCTCTGCACCCTCCTCCGCACCCTAACCTCCATCCCCTCTGTCGACAGTATTTGTTTGTTTGTGTTTGTGTGTCTGTCGCGCTGGTCGTCCATTTGCCATTTCCTGGCGCACTGCGTTGTGATTTGCATAACAAAATGCTGGGAGAGTCCCCGGCAATAAGCGTTGCCTGGTAAAGGATTTAAGCTGTAAGGCCAGGCCGTGGCAAAGGCAGGAGCAGAGCCAGCGGCAGAGGCACATAAGTTCGGCAAGGCCAGGGGTTCCGCTTGGCGCTGCCTTGCGAACACTTGTGTGTGACTGCTGCGAGTGTTGGCATGAATTTATGGTTCAACATTTGAGTGTGACACAATTTAACTTAATTTAACGAACGGCAAAAGCCACGCACCGAAACGACAATAAAACGTACGAACCCAATTTCAAGTACGGCAAAGGGTCTTGAATTTATTTTTAGTGTGTGGCGCTATATACATACATATAAGTATGTGTGTATAAATGTATATGTTTGTATAGGCCACCAGTATTTATGTTCATAATAACAATTATAACACTTCACAAACAACGCTGGGATCAAAATCTGTAGTTAATTTGTTGCCAAGAACTTGCATGCCATTTAAATGCCGTCGTTATGTGTCATATTTTATAGTTGACAATCCCAAAAGCAATTTAAATTAATACAAAGTGCAAAGTCATACCAACACAGCCACTTATATCCAACACAAACTCTCACTCACTCACTCACACTCACACTCACACACACACACACAGTTGTCGTCCAAATGTCAGTTTCAAGCAGAGCGCGCTCAATAACGTATAACGTAATGCGTGCTTAAATGTATTTTATTGCCAACAACAACAACAACAGCAACGACAATGGGGATGACACATAAAAGGACTAACCTTTGCCTGTGCTCCCTCTTTCTCCCTTCCACTTACGCAAATACTCGCGCAAACAATACACGGAGAGTGCAAATTGAGCACAGCTCGCTCTCAACATTGCGACTGGCGCAGCATGTTGCCCGGCAGCATGTTGCTAAGCTCGTGCAAAATCACTTACAGCCTAACAAAATAAACAGCAAAACGAAAAAAAAACACACACACACACAAACACAAAAACGAAAAAAGCAACGGCAATTCAAGTCTGTTGAGCTTCTCAAAAGGTTATGTGGGCGGGTGGTGGACTGAGCGGCATTGGTATGATTTAAGGGTGGACATATTCAAGCAGCGGAAGCGACGCAGGCAAGCGGAAGAAGTTATTTCAATTGCCTGCCTCCACGATGACGACGGCGATAGAAGAGCGAGCTAGTGAGCCAGCACGAGCGAGCGAGTGAGTGATAGAGAGCGAAAGATATTGCTGTGGCACGTACAGTGGCTTAGTGTGTTAGCTACTCTTCTGTATGTGTGTGTTTGAGAGTGGGAGTGTGCGAGTGTGTGTGTCTGTGTGACTGTGTGTGTCTGTGTGTGTGTGTGCCAGTTACCTGGCACGCTTTTGCCTTTTTCACCCGCACGCGGCGACGGGGCGTGAGGAAGTGGAAATGGAAGTGGCAGGGGACGAGGACAGTGACGAGGACACAGACGAGGTCCAAGGGGGCAGCTACTAATGGCATTTAAGTTTTGCTGCCCTGTCACAGGCAACAACACACGCTCACGCACACAACAGCCAAGTTGCATATATGGCGTTATGTTTGTGTACGAAACTCTTTTCGCCTCCATTATTATCCTTGAGGCTTTGGCTTTGGCTCTGGCTCTGGCTCCGACTCTGGCTTGTGCAGTGACCGTTTCAGCTATGGATAGCAGCCCAGCATTTTACTCCTTTTATTTCATTTCATTTCATTTCGTTTCGTTTCGTTTTATTGCATTGACATCAGCTCGCATTCCGCAGTGTCTGTGCGTGGGTGGGTGAGTGGGTGGCTGGGCTCCGTCAGCTGGCAGCTGCCTGTTGGTATTTTAACAAGCTACTGTCGAATGTCCATCATGACTCCAACTATGGCCACTGCTGCTGCTCCCGCTCCTGCTTCTGCTGCTGCTGTTGCTGCTTGTGCATAATTTGCCTTGCGGCTGTGCACCCAGCTCGTCATCATCAAAGTTGTCTCCCGTTCCCACTCCACCCATGGATCCCCGTACTTCACTTTGCTCTTCAGCATTTGCTGCGTTCAGCCTTTAGAGCTGCTGTGTGTCTGCCGCCTTTGCGTGTAGTGTGTGTGTGTGTGTGCTGTCGCTTGACGTAAAACGTGGCTGACTAGCTACTTCTTGGCCCTACGCTTTACCGCGCTCTGCTTTTGGCCATTTTGCTGTGTCAGCATAATTCTGTATGCCCTGTGCTATACTTTTTGTTGGAGCATTCTGGCATTCTGTATTTGTGCGTCTGTGCGTGTGTGTGTGTCTGTACGTTTGTATATTGTTGTCAATCTGGCTGTTAAATTGTGTAATTTGTCATATTTTCGTTATTTTGGCCCCTGCCTTGAAACTGCTTAAGCTCTCACTGTTCTCGCTGAGGTGTTTATAAAGACGCTGATAATGCTGTGTAGCTCGCTTTAAGCTCCCAACAGGCCGCCACCCACGATTACTCCTCCTCCTGCTCCTCCTCCTGCTGCTGCTGCTGGGCTGTCTCCGGGGAATAATGGTTGTCCAGTACAGCAGCTTTGAAATTGCTTGAATATTTTATCGAGTTATGTGCTCGCTAATTAAATTGATGTGCCACATACAGAAGCTGCTGCCGCTGCCGCTGCCACTGCCACCGCCGCAGCCACAGCCACAGGATATTCGTGCAACAGCGTTCGACAGTCTTTGCAACTATGTGTGCTCGCGCGCGCTTGTGTGTGTGTATATGTACACACATGTATGTATATATACATGTGTGTGTGTGTGTGTTTGGCTGGTTGGCAACTTTAATGAATTTACCTGTGTCATGCGCAGAGTTTTGCGACTTGCGTCTCCGCATGCCTTGCCGCATTGTTGCCTGCTTGTTTTAATCGTTTTCATTTTCTAGACTAGATTACTTATTTTATACTTACATGCAGCACAAAACTGAGTGATCGAAATTGTTGCCTAAGCTCAATATATATAGGTATGTCAATTATATATGTATGTTTATATACACATATTGAGGTATTTAAATATAAATAAATTTCTTTGCTTGCTTCCGCTTACAAATTGGTTTAGCTTTGTGACCGACACAAGTGAAATTGAATTAGTTTAAAGTAAAAGTTGAAAAACTTAGCACTGACAACTAGATCAAAGCCACTGGCACACTGAGCAAGAGCCCAAACTGTAAATAAACAAGTCCTCTTCATTGGTGTCTCTTATATCCTTTACGCTCTACGCTCCACGTTTCCCTTTTAGTTTGTTATATTTTAGTTTTGACTTTAATGCCGCTCGAGTCGAGTGCGTTGTTGTTGTTTGTGGAGCAGTTTGTGCCGCCCAGTCAAGTTGAGTTTTACATTTTATTTTGCTGCTGCCATTGGCCCCGGAAAGTAAACAAGAGTTGAACACTAGAAAATTGCGTTACTCCTGCTAACGGTATCCCCACTTGGATGCATAAATAAATCATAAGCGCTTCAAATAAGTGCAGTTGCAACGCCTCAGCAAGGATGTGCATGTGCATGCATGTGTGTGTGTGTGTGTGTGTGTGTGTGTGGGGTGAGTGTGGGGCATTAGTGTGTTGAAGGTGCAGCACCAGCTGTTGAAAAATCATATTAAATTTGACTTCAACTCTGAGCAGCAGCACTTGCCATAGATATCCGACATTATCTAAAAGTTATTCGGAGTTTTCGTAACAAACAGAGCTGGAAATGCTGACTTCTATACACACACATACACATACACATACATATATATGATATGCCTCAATTGAGAGACAGACAGCTCCAGCATTCAGCTTTGAGTGTTTATTCACGTGATTTTCCAAATTCCCCGAGACCTGCACATTGTTTGTTGGCTACGTTGCATACGCCGCTGACAAGGAAAACTCTCGCGCATTCGAGTCGATTTACAGGCGAACGTTTGGTCTACATTGTGGCGTCTACTTGGACGCAGGGCTGATGCTCTTCTTGGAACATGCTTTTCGCATAATATCTACAGAAATAAAACTGACACATACACATGCACATGCACACACACACACACATCATGTGGCTTGGCCAAATCTGATGTGCACACAAATATTATGAAGCTATTTTGAGCGAAGTATTTAAGCTTTTGCGTAGAAGTCTGGCCAATCGATGTTCTAAGCAATGACTGTTTATGCTGTTGCCGTTTCAGATAAAACGAGGGCTGCTCAAAAAGTGCTGCAAAGACTCACAAATATTGATAATTAAGGTGGCTATATAAGGCAGCCTAATAGAGCGTAAAACAATTTTATATTGTGTATAGATTGAGAGATCGGATAAGATATAAATAATTAATATATATAACTCAATCATTTATATATATAAAATAATAATATATAATAATAATTTGCTTTGCCTTTCGAGTCTGCCTATAAAACATTACAAATATTTATGTGATCGGAGTAAGCTAAACTAAGCACTGAGATGGGTCTATTGCCATTATAATATAATTAAGCCATTTAAATAATGGCCAATACTTTTACTAATGCCTCGAGCAGCCTTCGCAGATATATTTGTATTTACTTATTTTTATTGACAGCATTATATTTTATTTATTATATTGAATTCATGTCATTGTACTGCCATGGCCAGGCAGCCAAACTCAGCAAGTGCCAGCAGCACGTCCTTTCAATCCTTCTCTATACAGCTCTGTGTGTGTCCCTGTGTTTAGCGTGTGTGTTCGTGCGAGTGTATCTGTATGTGTGTGGGTGGGTGTGTGCTATTATTGTCAAGTCAGCACATAAAGATGCCAGCATTGGGGAGGCCCGGACCGGGATAAACGTCAGCTACGTCAGCCAGTCACATTTTCGTAGCTGGCAAATCTTTAAACGGAAATCGTTATATAAATCAAAGACAGATTATAAATGCTGCGCAATTTTCAAGTTATTTTCGGTTCGATATTCGCACAACGCAGGGTTGAACTCGCTTACAGCCCACACTGAAAAGGTTGAATGTAATCATGCCAGCCAGATAAGGCTGACAGCGAACAGTGCGATAAGGCCAACTATCGAGCCGAGTCAACTGTCTCATCAAAAACTTCGAATCATTAACCAAAAATGTGTCAAATAGGTAAAGTAGGTTTGCTAATTACACATATATGAGCATTATTGTTATTGCAGTAGGAGAAGGAGGGGGAGTAGGAGGAGTAAATAGCATTCGGCTCATTTCCGCTGGAAATGCTTCCTGTCATAATTTTTCATAGATTTGCAGGCAACTTTTTGATTTTCTTATTCGCGCTGAAGTGGTTTGAAAACAAGTGCAAACTTTGCTTCAACTTTTACTTAAAGCGCCCCAAAATTGCTTTGGCTCTGTGTTGGCTGGCGGGGGTGGGGGAGGTAAGAAGGGGACGTGCGCCGCTTTGTCATGGCTTATTTCACTTGAACCTTGCAGGCGGCCACTTTGGGTCAGTTGGCCCGGTCAAAGTTGGCGTGCTTAAGCTTTATTTTTAATTTGCCAGCGCTGGCAATTTTTAAACGTTTTCGTTTTTCTTTCACTTCTCTTTGCCTGGCCATTAATTTGGCTCGCCTTTATGTGCGCACACACACACGCACACATACACGCACACAATTGGCCGCAATTAACTAACTGGCTATGATTGATGATATTTTAAATGAGTGCGGCGGCAACGGCTCTAGCAACGGCATTGAAAGTGCCCACCAGCGAGCCGGAGAGCCAGCCAGCCAGTCAGTCAGCCAAGAGCCAAGGGTTCCCGAAAAATTCCTATGTCATCAGCATAATTTGATGCGATTTGATACGCAGGCCGCCCCTAGTAACACGCATTCTATTTCAGCCATTCATTTGTGGCCGAGCCGGGGCACATTTCGGACAAATAAAATGAAAGTTTAGATAATCATTTAGGTAAAAATGCCAAGGGAACAAAGAGGTTTTTGGTTTTGTTTAAATAATAAACTTGGAGAGTATTAAATGAAATATAAATCTGAAAAAAATATATGATTTTATCTTATATTTGTATATATCTACCTATATAAGCATATAGAAAAGTGGGCTCACAAACGGAAACGGAAGTAAATAAAAAGCAGCTAGACTCTGTTTTCTTTCCGCCATATAGCCCTGATAAAGTTCTGATGAAAAACACATAATATAAACGTTTTCGCAGGTTTCTCTTCTCTCTTCTCTTTTCTCTTTTCTATTTTCAACTTCTAAAAGTGTTTATAGCTGGCGTCTGAGGTCTACACCTCTCTAGCCAGTAAGTATAGCGGCTAATATTCGCTTATCGCTAATAGCTCTTGAGTTCAACTAATTGGTAATTAATTAAATTCAGTTCGAGCCATTAATTCGATATGGTCCAGACAGCTGCAATTCGATATGTTGCAAATTAAACAATGAATGCAGGTTGAAATTAATGCATTATGCACATATGTCACATCAGTTATGTACATATGTATGGCTACCCTGCCCTGGCCTGCCCTGCCAGCCATCAATCAATCAATCAATCATTTGACGGCCAAATCAAATATTCATAAAGTTTATAAAATATTTATGCATATAAAGTGCAAGTATTTAAAAGTGCATTTATGTATTTGCAAACAATTTTAACCAATGTAAATGAGAAATGCAGGGTATATGGAGTTTGTGGAGATGTATGTAACGGGCAGAATGAGGCACGGTGGACTCTATAGTGTGTATGTCAAGCTGAGTCGATCGAGCCCTGTTCGCCTGTCAATCTGTCCAATCGTATTATTGTATTACTTTATATCATACTTAGTACCAGTTTACATCTTCCTTCAATAATTAATTCCATTTGCTTGTTAAGCATCATGAAAAAGTTGGTCGAGTAGGCTATGATGAATATATATAAATTATAATATATTTTAACCTCGGGGTTTTCTATTTCTTTGATTTTTCCCCCAAATAATTAAGTCATATTATATACCATGTCATATCTCTAAGTAAATATCTAAGCAGAAAAGGCCTAGTTCCTAGTCTAAACTCTTTAATTATTGTAAGATACCATTCACAAAAAAAAACTGTAATTACAACAAAGAGTGAAATAAATTGAAATTGAAAATAATAATATATTTCAGATTTTTGAAACTTTCCCAAAAAAATAAATTCTACAAGAAATGTCAGTCAGCTTTTTCTATCAGTTCTATGCAGAGTTTAGCGTCTCCTCCAGTCGAGCATTTTCGACTAGAGCTTTCGCGCTTGTTTATGCATACCCTGGGTTCATTAAAGTCAGCAGATGAGTTGGGGCGCACTAGCGGAGGGTGTTTAACGAGGGAATACCCATAATCCGACTGGCTTATAGAATATTTGTATTGCATTTTTTTCAAGCTATCGCGGGATATTATGTTCCTTTTAATTTATTCAACTTTTTTGTGATTCATCAAAAAACTATAACGATTACGAATTTGACTTTATAGAATGTTAATCGTATACGATTATAACATTGAATTTAAATAACATAAATTGTTGCAAATTAATTTAAGCTCTATTAAGCAATTATATTTGGCATATTACTTGGAATGTTTTTTTTTTTTTTTTTTTTTTTTAACAAAGCTATTCGCTGAATTTTTAGCTACTTTATTTACGTAGAGCGTCATTATATAATTATAATTGTTATTATGAGCTATTTAAAAATGTTTTAGTAATAAACTTGTTTTTGTCATTTTAAGCAAAAACGAAATATTTCTAACTTTGATTTAATTTAAAGAAATTCATAGTTGATTTACGTGATTTACGTCGGTTTATATGTCAGGCAGATCAGAAAATAAAACCAGTTATGTATAGGCTCTAAGGTAATTTTACTAAAGCTTTAGTTGAAACAATGCCAATCGTAGGTTCAAGCACCAAGCGACTTTTATTTGTATTTAATTGAAAAATGAAATTTTGTAGCTACCAATTCATAATTTAGGGATATCAGTTAGCAAACGCTGGTTTAATATTTGTAGTTTTTATTATTATTAAAATTACTATTACAGATTTATCTTACCTAATTTATTCAGCAATATTTTAAATAAATTTTTATGAATTTTTCTCACAAATGTAACTTACATAATTTGTATTTTTTGGATATTTTAAATCTTAGATTTTTTGTGAGAGTTAATTGTTTGGAACA